AGCGCTAGAGGTCAGTCACATTTTAAACCTCGCTTACAGTTTACCGCGTTTTGGTTTTGAAACACTTAGTCTTGCTAAGAAATCCAGTATCACGCTTCCTTTGAAATGTTCGTTTGCACACTTTCATTATTCGTACATGTACATTGTTTATATGTGATTGTAGTCGATCTAATATAAATAAATTGGCACTAAATGAATTTTTTGTACTTTATATTGTTTGTAAATGTAAATCTTTTGTTAAGGTTAAAAATTTATAATGCGTTAATAAAGTTGACATTTGTTTTTGTTTAATGATGCATATATTTATTTATGTGTATTATATACTTGTCCATCAATCATACCTTTTCTTTTTTTCTTTGCAGATTTTGGTAGCTGTCTACATTCGCATTATTGTGGCAGCTTTTATTTTCTTACATCCGATCAACATGTTTACCACATGACATGAGCTTCATTCTATGACAAGTGCATAATATCATCAATATTTATGGAAATTACCTTTGTGTCACATTTTATGATACAAAATATGCAAAATTTTATTACTACATGCAATAACAATTTAACAAGTATTTAATGTAATTTTCAACACCACGTTTACGCTTTATAAATAAGTTTAAGTAGAATATCAACATCACATTGTCTATGCATTAAAGACAATAGAATTTACACAATAAAGGGCCATATAGAGAAAATGAATAGCAGGCTTGAAGAACAGAAGTCAAAATGGATCTGTGAATATTGTACATATGAGAATTGGCCTTCATCTTTGAAATGCACAATGTGCAGAGGTGCCAAGCCTTTATTAGGGGAGGACATTTACCGCCTACGAGATCCAAGTCCACAAAGATCTGGATCAAATGTTGCATCTGGTCCAGTAACTCATTTAAGTCCAACGGATTCTTATAATCTTAGTTCTCAAAACTATAGTCAAAATGTACCCTTGGGAAACTGGTCTTGTACAATGTGTACCTATCTTAACTATCAAAATACCACACAATGTGTTCAGTGTGGAAACAAAAAACCAACAGGTCTCAATCAGTCGATACACTCCATAGCCTCAAATTTGCATGAACACCTAGCACCTCTTAGGCTAGGAGATCCACCACCGAATTCAGGATCAAATCCTCCTCCAATAAACTTACACCCAGAAAAATATTATAATTTACAAACTAATTTACATCCTGAGAAGTGGTCTTGTCTTGTGTGTACTTATGAAAATTGGCCAAAAGCCACAAAGTGTGTGATGTGTGGTAATCCTAAAGAAAAAGATAGAAGAGATAAAACAGCCAATAATGTGGGTCTTATTTTACCAAGCCCAGAAAGAGATCATAATCAACGTGGTTTACCTTCCCCACCACATGCACCATATATTCATCAGACTCAGAGGGACGAAAATGTGGCTGTAGGACGAAGGTAAATTTATTCTTCATATTTCTTTAAAGATATTAATGATGATTTTAGGTAGTGAGAAAGATATTATTTGAAATTATTATACATCATAAGTTTTCTTATATTATAGGAATGCACATAGATATCCTGATAGCAGAAATGACAGTTTATCAACTCCTCAATCCCCTAATAATTGTGACTATGAACGTAGACTAAAACAATTAAGGCGTCATACTGATTGGTGCTGGTTAAATGCGTGTCTTGGCATTGTGGAAGGAGACAATGCTCCTGTCGAAGCTTATTTGGCAAGTGGTGGTGATCCTGCGCGTCAATTGACACATTCAGAAGTTCTGCTTCTAAATAGAAGTAGTGCTTTTGATGTTGGATATACCTTAGTACATTTAGCTATTAGGTCAGTGGAAAGTAATTTTTGACAAAGGATTTCTTTCAAGCTATTTTAGCATATTTTATATATTATATAAGTGTATATATTCTTTGGCATTATTTCAACTTGTTCATTATATGTGCAGTAAAATAAATGAACTATTATTGAGAAACATAAAATCTTTGAACTGTTCCTTATACAGTTTGTCATATTTTTGGCAGATTTCAAAGGGAGGATATACTAGCAACATTATTATCACAAATTGAAGGTTCTGGTTCTGGAATAAAAAGAGTTCCAAGTTATGTTGCACCAGATTTGGCTGCTCAAATACGCAGACATGTCACTAATAGTATCCGGTTACGCAAGGGTTCTTTCCCATGTTATTTTGTCACTGATATAGCTACATTTGCTTTGCCTGCTGAGGTTACTATAATATTATAATTCTTTGGGGTACTATGGGGTACTAGGGTTTGTCAAAAATATTTACTTCTATACATACTTTAATGCATAAGTTGTATGTAAGTATAGATTATGAAATTACTTATTAGGTTGAAGATTTACCAAGTATAGTGCAAGAGCAAATGTTGGAAGAATTATTAGATAAAGAAGCTCAACAGCAATTAGAAGGTGGTGGTGGAGAACCACCAGCACTAAATTGGTCTTTAGAAATTACCGAACGTTTAGGAAGCCGTTTACATGCACTTTGGAATAGATCTGCTGGAGATTGTTTATTAGATTCTGCAATGCAAGCAACTTGGGGTGTTTTTGATCGAGATAATGCTTTAAGAAGAGCTCTTGCTGATTCTTTACAACAAGCTGGTCAATTGTAAGCAATTATTACAGTTAATAATTCTTCTATTTATTTTTTCACTAAATTTATGTAAACACGTGAATTTTTATCGATTTAGTTTTTATCCTCGATGGAGAGAATATGAAGCATCACAAGCATCTAGGATGTTGGATTTTACTTTAGAAGAAACTCAATGGCAAGAAGATTGGGAAAGCTTATTAGCAACAGCTGCTCAACCAGGAAGTGCTTTAGAGCAGTTACATATATTTGCCCTTGCCCACATTTTGAGACGACCTATTATTGTTTATGGGGTTAAATATGTTAAAAGTTTTAGGGGTGAAGATATAGGTGTGTACCTGTTATGTTTAAAAAAATGTATTATATTATGTATTTGGTGTATTAGATGATATAAATTACAATGCGTTTAAATAAAATATTTTCGTACAGGTTATGCAAGATTTGAAGGTGTTTATCTTCCACTCTTATGGGAACCATCATTTTGTATTCGCTCGCCTATTGCTTTGGGTTATACTCGTGGTCATTTTACGGCCTTAGTTCCCATTGAGCCATACGCATCGTCTAGAATACCACCTCTTTCATCTCACGGTGGTGGTAATGGTCCACTTCAGCAGTTACAAATACAAATGCAGACTACGTTTATGCCACTAATGGACCGAGAACACAAACTTTTACCAATACATTTTCTTAGTTCTGAAGAAGTAGGCCGAGAAGAGTCTATTTTGAAGGAATGGCTTGATGTATGTAGAACCGAAGGTGGCATTCTTGTTGCGCAACAAAAATTACACAAAAGACCTCTATTAGTAGCACAAATGCTCGAAGAATGGCTAAATCATTACCGAAGGCTCGCGTAAGTAATTTCATATTTAAAAACAATTGTTTTCTTGTTTATTCTTTATATTCGATTGAATCGCTTATTATTGTTACAGTCAAACAAATAATGCACCTTTTTTGAGACCAGCCGTTTTACAAGATTACAGTAGCGATGGTGATACGGAAGATGAATAACGAGATGCATTCGATTAAGTTATTACATTCAGCCGAGAAGACTTTTCTCCATAATTTCCATAAAACCAATTGTAACGCAAGATCTCAGAGATCAGCAGTTTTCTGAATATAGCAGAAAAAAATGTATGAATGTTTTGACATACAGATTCATTGGCAATGTATCATTTCAGCATGACTTTTGTATATTAACATTGGTTATTGAACCACTGAACGCTTAAAGTTCTTATCGATTCGTACTATTTAATTATACCGGATGTTTATTCTTTTTTATGAGTAGTTACTATATTATTTTATTGTTACTTAATCAGAGGAGTGCGCAATAAGTAGTCCCATTGCCAAAGTGCGATTCTGGGTATCGAAGCAGTAAGTTAACGAATGAAATTTTGTTATGCCTTGAAAGTATAGATAAAGTTAAAGCGATTGCTTTAACATCAGTTCTTTCTCGATAAATTGATCGGTCTATAGTAATACGAGTTTGTTACCGAGGTTATGTAATATTAATTTTTCTAATATGTTTATGACGAAAAAGTTATTAAACATTATTAAAAATGGGGTATAAATTATTATCAGTTTTTGGATTAGAAATTCACAACGGGATAGGTAGTGATAAGGAAATTATAATAGCTTGATTTTTATTGCTCTTTCAAAAAATTATAATATGAAGATTATTGTGGAACACACGGGTGTTATATGTACGAGGTGAAGGAATTAAGGACAAAAGGATTCTCGTTTGTTAATCGTGAAAACAAAGAAAGAAAAGAAAAAAAAACATTTG